ATACTTTTATGTGGCAAGCACAATAACCATACCGAGTTTGGTACAAATTGCTAGAACGGTTAGCGAGATACATATACGTGATCATAAGTGCCAAGCCCATTTTCCAAAATTTTATCATAAACGTATTTCCTGGCAAAGAATTGTTGCAACCATCATTTTGAATAAATTAGCTTTAATATTTACTGATTTATCGAGGATTTCGTATTTCTCGAAATTACCGTTATATGGGATGTGGGCGTGGATATTGTCCGATTTTAAAAATTTATGCCATTTGGTATGCTGTACCAAGGCCAACAACTGTGCCAAGTTTGGAATAAATTGGTGCAGCGGTTACCAAGATATACACATGTAACCATAAGTGGGCGTGGCTACGCCCATTTTCCAAAAATGTGACTGTCTGTCCGTCCGTCCGTCCGTCTGTGCACACGATAACTCGAGTAAGAATTGAGATATCTTAACGAAACTTGGTACGTGCACTTCTTTCTGGCGTAGGACGGATGGTATTGAAAATGGGCAAACTCGGACAATAACGATGCCTACCTCCAATATAACGGTAGCCACGCCCATTTATGGTTACATGTGTATATCTTGGTAATCGCTGCACCAATTTCCTCCAAACTTGGCACAGTTGTTGGCCTTGGTATAACATAAATGGAAGAAAATTTTAAAAAGCGGAAAATAACCACGCCCACATCCCATTTAAAGAAATACGAAATCTTCGATAAATCAGTAAATATTAAAGCTAATTTATTCAAAATTGATGCTTGCAACGATTCTTTACCATGGGGCACCGCCCCATATATCTATCTCGGTAACTGTTCTACCAATTTGTACGAAATTCGGTGTGGTTATTGTCTTGCCACATAGAAGCAAAACGTTGAAAATTATTGAAATCGGACTAAAGTACGGCCGCTTTTCATATAACGGTAAATTTCATAAATGCTTGAATCTTCAATATTTCGAAATTTAAGGACGCTAATTTACTCAAAATTGTTACAACCCGGCTTACCCTGTAGCGGTAGCTTTCGGAAAGGTGAAAAACATATATGTAATACCTGCGCCGGGTATTTAATTGTTCGGCTCCGCCCGAACTTAGACTTTCCTACTTGTTTTCAAATAAAGTTAGTTTTTAAAATAACCACTAGGGATGGAAAAGGCGCATAAAGAATCGATCCTTGATTTCATTTTGCCTTTTGAAAATTTATAAAGGGAATGAACATAAAATTATTATTTTTTTCAATTAAAAAAATGATATTTATCAGTAAATTGCACGTAATTAGGCGTTGCAATTTAAAATTTAATAATTAAGAAAACCACATATCGATGGCTTATATTCAATACCCTCTAACTGCAATTTTACAAAAACTACTAAAACCCATCCGGGACTTACTCACCTGCCATCACGAATGTTAATTCTGACTTTGCAATAATAATAACCCGAAACTCTTCGGAGTTACATTCGACAGTCTGCTCTCCGTCTCGGCGCAAACAACCGCATTGTAAATAAAGTATAAAGTACAAAGCCGCAATAAGGTCAAGTCGCTAGCCGGCAGTACCTATGGCAAAGACAAAGAAACGTTGTTGGCAACGTAAAAGGCATTTGGCCGGCCGGTTCTGAACTATGCAGCACCTGTGTGCTCGCCGGGAACTTATAGGATGCAGTGGATGAAGCTACAGACTTGCAAAAACACGGCACTGCGGACACCGACCGGATGCCTTCTGATGTCGCCGCAACATCACCTGCACGCAAAGTTCCAAAATAAACGAAATGAATCGTATTGTTTAGTTTCGGTTCACTTCCCTGCAGCAATAAGGCGGCCCATTTTCCGTTAAGGACTAGTACTTCACTGGTTAAAATTTGACTGGTCAGAATTGGACATTTGCTTGCATCGAAAATGTCAGCCTTCGACCAGTCCCCAAGGAACCGGCCTAGAGAGACGAGAAGTACAATTTGTCAGTGACAGGGTGGTGTTGTCTTGCAATTCAATAAAAAAAATTAAAGAACACCACCCTGTAAATGTCCTAATCGCCTTGATGCTAAGTGAACCTTTGAACACATATTTACATGCGCGGCTGTAGCTCAGTGCGCAGAGATGCTTGCCACTATTTGTTAGCTTTCAGGAGGTAGAGCTGGGATACTATCGATAGTACCGCCACTTGATAGTTTTCGAAACGATAGTTGAAAACATCGATAGTATCGATAGTACTATCGTCGTGAGGGGTATTGAATTTAAATGCTAAATTGCATGAAAATTAAATAATTAATAAATTTATAAATTACTTTGTAAATTAAAGAGATTATATACATTTGTTTATATTTGAGTGCATCAAAAAGAACTTCTTATAATAATAAAATAAACTTACCAATTTATGCGTCTGAATTATGTATACTTATATACATACACTTGCATCCACTTGAATAGCGACAGGCAAAATCTGAATTTATTTTTTATATGGAAAAATTAAATTCGGATTTTGTTTGTCCCTTTTGAAGTGCAAAGAAGAGAAATTAGCTATAATAATACATTTCTAATACTACAAAACAAAAGCTATTCGTTTAAATTGACAACTCATACTTATAAAAGTTCAACTGAGATCAAATGCGGAG